GTTTAAGCCACCGGGTCCAGGACGCGAACCGCGGTCGAATACGTGGGAGTCCAGCGACATAGCCATTACACTAACTGCTGGTCCCGAGAAGTAGCTTTAATAAAGCTGGATACAGTTTGGCTTGGGAAAAAAAAACTATTGAGGAATGACGGACATATAAATAGCTTTGTATACTTAATAAACACAGTTGATAAAGCCATCAAGGCCATAAACAAATCTATCACCTCCCAGCTTCTTTGCATCCCGCTCAGTATTGTAGGGTTTGCTTTTGTTTCGTGGGGATTGGTGAGAACACCTGTCTTAGTCCTTTGTGTAGTTACAGATGAATACCACAGACTGTGTGGTTTATTATTTATTTATTTATTTTTTTAGAGAATGGTTTTTGCTATAGGGTGCATGCACTTGCTACAGAGACAGAGACAGAGACAGAAAGCGAGAACTCACCCCCCAGAGGGATGGCCACGTCTCAAACTCTTCTCCCATTCCCCTCTCGGGATTTTGGGCATACATGCACACATGCCCAGCATGAGTTTTAAGTCACCGGATCTAAGACTTGAACTGCAGTCCACTACGCAGGAGTCCAGCGACATAACCATTATGCCATCTGCTGGCCCCAGACTGTGTAATTTATAAAGAACAGAGATTTGGGGCCGGCAGGTGGCATGGTGATTAAGATGCTGGACTCCCATATATTTGACTGTGGTTCCAGTCCCAGACCTGATGGCTTGAAACATGCCAGATGCTTGTGTGAGCGTGCCCAGAATCTCAAGAATTAAGAATGGAGAAGAAGGGATTATGGTGTGGTCATCCCTTCTGGGAGATGATTTCTTACTTTCTCTCCCTCCCCCTCTGTCTCTCTCTGTCTCTCCAGCAAGCACATGTGCCCCTATAGCAAAAATTCCTAAAAAAAAAAAAAAAAGAAAAAAGAAAAAGAAAGAAAGAAAGAAAGAAAGAAAGAAAAGAAAAAAAAAACAGACTGACTTAGTACTGTTCTGGAGACTGAGAAGTCCATAGTTGAGAGGCCCAAATCTAGTGAAGGCCCAAATCTGCATCATCCCATGGCAGAAGGCAGAAGGGCAGGAGAGAGAGGAAGATGAACTAATTTATTTACTTATTTATCTGAGAGGTTTTTGCCTTAGAGCACATGCACTTGCCAGAGAGAGAGATAGAGACGGTGAGAGGGAAAGTGAGAAACCACCCTCTGGGGAGATGGCCGTGCTGCAATTTCTCCTCCATTCTCCTCTCAGCATCTTGAATACACACATACATACACCCAGCATGAGTTTCATTCTCTGTGTCCAGGACTCAAACCCTGGTTGGTCATGTGGGAGTCCAGGGACATAACCTCTACATCAACTGCTGGCTCTAGTTTTTTTATTTTTGTAAGGTTTGCCATAGGGTGCATGCCCTCATTGGAGAGAAACAGAGACGGGGGCGGGGGGATGAGAAATCACTCGTGGGGAGATGGCCGCAGTGTAGTCCTTTGTCCTCTTGGGATTTTGGGCATGTGCACCCAGGTTCCCAGCATGTTTTCCAATCTCCTGGTCTGGGACTTGAACTGCATAGCTAGCCATGTGGGATCCAGCCACCCTAACCATAATGCCATCTGCTGGCTCTGAACTCATTTTTATAACAAACCCACTCTCTCCATAACTCACCCACTCCTGCAATAACAACACTAATCCCTTCCATTAATCCTCTACCATGCAGCACTGTTCATTGGGAATTAAGTTTCCAATACATTCAGACTATAGAAACACTTAACATAAGACTGACACTCTTAGTGATTTTAAGTATTCAGTACAATGTAATTAGCTGTGGCTTCTTGTTGTATAGTAGATTGCTAAAATTGATTCATCTTGCATTGAAGCTTTGTACCCTTGAGCTGTCGCTTCCCTAATTCCCTCTTCTCCTAGCCCTTAGCAACTCCTCTCTGCGTCTGTGAACTTCGTGGTTTAGACCCACACATAATCACACAGTGTGTGTCTTGCTTATTTCACTCAATGTAAAGCCTGAGGGTGTTTCTGTGCTGTCCCCAATGACCAAATTTCCATTTTAAGACTGAATATATTCCATTGTGTGTGTGTGTCTGTATGTGTGTATATGTATAACACAATTTGTTTGCCCATTCCTTTGTT